TAAAAAAAAAAGTATTATTCTACTCCGTAAAGCAATATGATTTTGATCAATATTGCAAATAACGGTATTATTTAGATTCAAGTTGCTATTTAATTATTATTAAAAAGTTTATAAAAATAATAATAATATGGTAATGATATATATTTCAAAAGCTGTTCGTATATCCCACAGCGCAATGACAGACAACGACTACGCGGAATATGTATCGAAATGGCTTGCACAAGCGACTGTACGGATTTCAAGGCAAAAAATTGGAGAAACGGTGGCTCATGATTTACAATGATATTATCATTTAATATAGTATTTTTATTAATAGTTTTATTAATAGTATTAATATAATATTTTTCATTTATATGTGTTCCTTTTACATATATGTGTTCATAATTTTTGATAGTTCTTTGATGTTTTTCGTTTATTTTTTACTACCAAAGTAGATAAAACACTTTATTTATGTTTTATATACATATGTTTATATTTTGTTACGAACACCATTATATATGTGTACCATTTAGTATATTAACCAAAGAAGCAAATTTTTATTTAATATTAATTGTTGTAATATACTTTTATAAATAAATATATATATGTGTTATAATTTTGACTTATTAATAGTTATAATACTACTGCGATTGCTGTTTAACATAATATCTATACTATAGTATGTGAGTCTAGTAACTTGCAATTATGATATCCTACGTAATACAGCTGTTTGCTAATTTCTACAGATATCTTGTGGATATCAAATGATAAAAATACTTCAGTATATTATGACAATATTCAAATATCCGCTTTTTATTAAATTTTTATAACAAAATATAACATTGACGTAATTGTTATATTTCGTTTTAGATGTAATAAAAAGTGGACTTTTAATATCGCAATAATGTTATTAATATCGCAATAATTATACTGACAATTTTGCCATCTGCTGGCAAAATTGTCAGTATAATTATTGCGATCTGTGGAAAAAAGATTAACACATAATTATGTTATATGGAATTGTATAATTACAAAATGTTGAATACATGTTTTAGAATGGCTTAGTTGCATATATTAGAGCTATAGTTAGAGCTATACAATATTGTATATAATATTATATTGTTTAATTTTGTATATTACAGCTATTACGCCACTCTATACACACACACACATATGTATATATATAGGCATAATAGCTGTAACTTTATTGCATATATACTATATAACATTGTTATTGCAATATTACAACAGAATGTTGCTGTATTATTGCAGTATAATATTGCTGCAGTATTGCAGTACAATATTGCTGCGCTATTATAATGCAATATTGCTGCATCATTGCAACGCAATATTACTGCAAGTGGACATTTTAATGTTGCTGCAATATTTCTGTGCTGTATGGGGTAGATAGTAAAATAATTTTCTTTCTTTACGAATTTTATAAACTTTTCACGAACATAAAAATTGAAAGATTCTCAGAGAACAAATAACTTTTCTTGAACATTTAAACCAAAGGAAAATCTTTTCCCATTAATAAAGAATGAATAATTAATATCTCACACAAGAGGAATCTTCATCCTTGAAATCACCGCGCGATTTTGCTTTTAGAAAAGTATAATATTGATGTAACGGTAACAAATGCTATCCACAAACGGTGCAAATCTTAAACGTTTTTGAGAAATGCAGTTTGAAGTTTAGTCTTTTCTGTTAATGTCGTTATAGCAGAAGAATTACCAATTTGCTTCAGTAGCGCAGTGGATCAGGCTTTGTGATATGAGCGTAGAGGTTGTTCAAGTGTGTTATTTTTACTATCACAGGGAGAACTATGTAGAATGTATAATAATACGCAGACAAATTCTTTACGTAATCATATATATTTCTTTTAGCATGAATAAAAATGATGACGTGTACGTGTACACATACACACACACACATACACACGTATACCAATGATGTCAAAACCGAACAATTCGTGAAAATTTTTTATTGATCGCAATTGTACCCAAAGACGAAAGAGAAGTACACGGGTCTCCACGGGTATCTCGTCATATTAATTGTCTATGAGCTGATGAACAATTGATCTCCGGTATTTACAAGTAACGCTTGTCCGCAGCTTGTTCGGTTTTGACATCATTGGTATCAGTGATGCGAATTTGGTGACGGGCTTGCACGAGGATTCCCCCCGCTCCTCCACATGCACGCATACAGCCAGCTCGGTCTATCCGTGTGAGTGACGCGTCGGCAATCGTCGACGCGCCGAGCCAGCGAGAGGCGGGGGGGAGAGAGGAGGTAGGGAGGGAGGGAGGGAGAGAGATTGAGAGGGAAGGATGGGGAGGGGAGAGCGGGGGAGAGCGGAGGGAGAGAGGGAGAGAGCAGGGGAGAGAGAGGGAGAGAGGGAGAGAGAGGGAGGGAGAGAGAGAGAGAGAGAGAGAGAGAGGGAGAGAGGGGGAGAGAGAGAGAGAGAGAGAGAGAGAGAGAGAGAGAGAGAGAGAGAGAGAGAGAGAGAGAGAGAGAGAGAGAGAGAGAGAGAGAGAGAGAGAGAGAGAGAGAGAGAGAGAGAGAGGATATCATTCCCTCCTTTTCGCTCTCGTTCTCGCTCAGCGAGCGAGCCTAATTCTTTCTTGCCCATAATCTAAATCGCGGGCGCGACTATCTCTCTATCCTTTCCTCTCTATGACAATACTGAAAAGTTTTGTCTACTCGGCGCATCGAAATTATTACATTACAAATAATATTTTATTATTAATAATATTATTTGTAATATACATTATTTGTAATATTATTATTTGTAATTCTATTTATAATTGTATAATAATGTTACAAATAATACAAATTTTTATAAATTTTATTTGTAAAAATGTATACCATTTGTAATATTATTTGTAATAGTATTAATAATATATAATTTAATAATAACACAGGCCTACATTTTTAAATTCTATTTATAATTGTATAATAATGTTACAAATAATACAAATATTTATAAATTTTATTTGTAAAAATGTATACCATTTGTAATATTATTTGTAATAGTATTAATAATATATAATTTAATAATAACACAGGCCTACATTTTTAAAATCCTGAGACAAGACTATACTTTCCCGAAGGTTTTCGGTCCGCTGAATCTGAATCCGGCAGCGGAATTGCTCCATCACATCAGGTTTTCTAGATATTCTAATCTGAAAGTGCAAAAAACACAGTTTTTCGCTATATTCGGGATTATATTACAACGTGAATTAATTTTTCTCTACAAAATTCGTTACAGTATCTGAAAGTACTACTCTTCGCCTTCAAAATGCATTTTGAATTTTTCATATATCTTATTTCTTCTCGGAGATATCGTCCGTTGAAATTTTTTAGTTTGGCGTTTTCGTTACTACTTTACAAAAAAAAAGAAGTTAATCCGGCAGGTGAAAGTTGTGTAATTATGTTTTTTGGGACGCTGAATCCGAATTCGTTGTCGGTTCAACCCCATGACCATCAGATCATGATTTGTCCCTAATAATTGATCAAAAAAAGACGAATTCGAAATCTTTTTTGAGGTTAGGGACAAACCATGACCTGATGGTCATGGGGTTGAACCGACAACGAATTCGGATTCAGCGTCCCAAAAAACATATAATTACACAACTTTCACTTGCCGGATTAGCTTCTTTTTTTTTGTAAAGTAGTAACGAAAACGCCAAACTAAAAAATTTCAACGGACAATATTTCTGAGAAGAAATAAGATATATGAAAAATTCAAAATGCATTTTGAAGGCGAAGAGTAGTACTTTCAGATACTGTAACGAGTTTTATAGAAAAAAATTAATTCACGTTGTAATATAACCCCGAATATAGCGAAAAACTGTGTTTTTTGCACTTTCAGATTAGAATATCTAGAAAACCTGATGTGATGGAGCAATTCCGCTGCCGGATTCGGATTCAGCGGACCGTAAACCTTCGGGAAAGTATAGTCTGGTCTCAGGGTCTGGAGTTTCGTAAAATTTTGTTGGCCTGGTGTAATTAATAATATTCAGCGCCAAGAAAATGAAATATATTTTATTAATTATTTTGCGGAATCGGGCAGGTTCACAGGTTTGATTATTGAATTGTTTAATAATATTTTAAGAATAATTTTAAGGTATACAAGGATGTAGTATGAAATGTAAAAGAATATTGTAACAGAATCAAGAAGTACGAAATGAAACCTTTTTGCTTTTATTACAATATCCTGTAAGTTAATAAATATTTTTCATACAGTATTAAATAATCTCCAAAAACAATTACATCCGTGAAATTTTCTATCTGTGCGAAAAAAATTCATAAAATATATTTGTTTCGTCGCTCTAAATAAGAAAACTTTCAGAACAATGTCATAGTTGTTCAGTGCACTACTTAATAAAAATATAATAATACTATGTTTGTATGTGTGAAGAATATTTGTTAACTTACAGGATATTGTAATAAAAGCAAGGAGGTTTTATTTCGTACTTTTAAGGTCAAGACTTATGTATCGGGTTGACTTTTGAAGCAGGGAAATAAAGAGAATCCTCAGCGTAGACTCAGAACAGGAAGCCTCCTGCGTGACACACTCATTTCTCCCTTCTCGCCCGTCTCTCCTCTCGCACCACTCTCTAGATGGCGCTGCTTTACGCTCACGCAACACCCTTCCTATTTTATTAAAAAAATACAGTGAAATTGAATACAACATACCTTACAAGAACGCGTTAAAATAAAAAGAAATCTCGAAAACGCGAGTTAGGTTTCCGGTCTCGCTCTGATCTTCGCGGAGACCTATTCTTTGTTATTGTCTATTTCGCCGCACGCTGTCTCGTTTTCCCGCAACTCACCTATCCCCTCATTTTTTGTTGTTCCGAATTACAATCCATAAACGATTCTTCGGCGCTTCTGTCTAGATTATCGTTTACAATTCGTTCGTCTCTATCCTCTCTATTTATCTCTATCCAAATCGGAGCTTGATGTTCGCTTTTTAGATGTTGTTTATATCTAGCTGGTATTAGATGCCACCGATTTCGTCATAGAACGCTGCCTTTTTCGGTTTTTACTATATACTCATTTGGGTTACTATCTATTGTTACAACCTTTGCATATACCCGCAAATCTGTGACCCATACGGTGTCGTTTACTTTAAGTTTTGATAGAAGTTTAGATCGGTGTCTCTTGTTATAATTGCACTCTTGTTTGTTCTTTCTTTTTGCTTCTGTTTCTATGACTTTGTTATGTTCTATAAAAGATCCTAATTTATCTGGTAGTAGTGGTACGCGTGAACGAATTTGTCTAGAAAACATGAGTTGTGCTGGAGAGAATCCGTTCTCTAAAGGCGTAATTCGATACGTTAAGAGTCCTAAATTTATATCGCCATTAGATTTTTTTATGATAGATTTTGATATTTTTACTGCGGTTTCCGCGGCATCATTACTTTGCGAATACTTTGGAGAACTAGTTACATGTTTAAAATCAAAATCGCTCGCAAAATGACGGAATTCGGATGCGAACTGTATGCCACAATCGCTACGTACGATTTCTGGAATACCGTATCGTGCAAAGGTCTGTTTGCATTTCGTTATAATTTCCTTTTCAGTTAGCGTCCTTAATGGGAAAATCTCGAAATATCTTGAGTAATAATCTACTATAATTAAATACCATGTGTTCATCTTGAATAAATCCATCCCTACTTTTTGCCACGGACGATCCGGAAACGTTTCTTTTATGAAGGGTTCTTTAATGTTAAGCCTTTGTTCAACGCAATTAGGGCAGTTTTCAACTAAATTCTTTAATTGCATGTCTATACCAAGCCACCAGATTGACTGCTTGGCTTTATCTCTGCATTTGTTTACTCCTAAATGCCCTTCATGTACCTTTAACAGTAATTTTCGTTGAAGAGATGGAGGAATAATTAATCTAGAATTGAACATAAGAAAATCGTTTGAAAATGATATATTGTCCTTTAACTGGAAATAAGCTAATAACTTTTTTTGTATTCTGTCTTTTGTTGGCCATTTGTTTAAGCAAAACTCTTTTAATTTTATGCAAACGGGATCTCTTTCCTGTTCGTCTTTTATTCTCTCTAGAAGATTCTTGGACGCGGGAAAATGGCTAGTAACGAAATGCACATAATAATCGATTTCTTCCTCAAATTCCTTTTCCGAATTCTTTATGCTCTGTATGGGATTCCTAAATAAACAATTCGCCAGAATTAACTGTTTACCCGGCATATAGATTACTTTGTAATTGTAACGCATCAGTCGCATCCGAATTCTTTGAAGTCGGGGTGTCAACTCGTCTAAAAGTTTATATTGTAAGATTTGGATGACCGGTTTATGGTCGGTTTCTAGAATTATGCTAATGCCTGTTATGAAATCTTTAAAGTGTTCCGCTGCATACGCTAAAGCCAGAGCCTCTTTTTCGATTTGACTGTATTTCCTTTCGGAATTGGTTAATGTTCTGGATGCATAAGCTACTATTTCGCGTTCTTTTTTTTCGTTTTCCTGTAACAATGCGCCTCCCAATCCGTAACTCGAGGCGTCTGCTTGGATAATAATATTTTTAGAGTAGTCGTAATATGCAAGAGTAGGTGTTTTCGTTAGCAAATTTTTTATCTGATCAAACGCTCTCTGTTGAGAATCCCTCCATTCGAACGGAGTATCATCTTTCAATAAAGAATTTAACGGTTCTAAGGTGTAAGATTTGTTAGGCAAATACTTGCTCACATAGTTTACTGAGCCTAACAATTGCATTAGGAATTCTTTATTTCTTGGTATTGGAAAATTCACAATAGCAGAGACATGAGAAGGTAGAACGTCAATCCCTTTTTCCGATAACCTATGTCCAAGAAATTCTATCTGCTTAACTCCGAAAACGCACTTGTTTTTGTTTAATGTGATACCTGCCTTCTTTAGCCTGGTTAACACCTCTTCAAGAGTTTTATTATGCTCTACAATATCGTTTGCATGGATCAAAATATCGTCTACATGGACTACGTCCATTGTAGACCAACTACGTTTGGTAAATCTCGCAATAGTTCATAAAACATCTGCGAAAAATAATCCGGGGCGCAGTTAATGCCAAACGGCAGTCCTGTGAACATGTACCTACCGAATGGCGTTATGAAGGTCGTTAATGGTTGACTATCTTCATTCAATCGTATTTGATAAAATCCCGATTGAGCATCTAATTTGGAAAATATTTTTGAACCTTTCAGGCTGGATAATATTACATCCACTTTAGGTATTGGAAAGTTTGCTCGTTTCACGCTATTATTTAATTTTGTATAATCACAACATAAACGAATATCATCAGTGCCTTTTTTTGAAGCGATTACTATCGGACTGCACCACTCTGTTGGAAAGTCCACGGTTTTAATTATCTTCAATTTTAAAAGTCTATTCAACTCTCTTTTTAATTTCGGAAGTAGTGGAATAGGTACAGTTCTAGAGACTGCTTGGAAAAAAGGCATTGCATTTTCCTTAATTTCAATACTCAACTGCTTTTTGAATTGTCCAATCCCTTTAAATATTTCCGAGGAAGAGGAAATTATTTTCCTTATACCATTCTCTTGTATATTGTTAATATTATTAACTTCCCGCACCAAATTAAATTTGTTAATCTCCGGTCTGCCTAATAAGTTTTGTTTTAAGCCCAGGATCACAAAAACTTTTGTTTGGATGTTTAACTGTTTTCCCCGGAGAGTAACATTCATGAATCCTACGACAGGTAATCTTTTCCCGTCTGGTCCTGAAATAATTTTATCTGATTTACATATTCTATTTTTACTTTCTCTCGGGATACACTTGTCTGAAATGCACGTGATGTCCGCGCCTGTATCGACAATAAAATCTAGTGTTCTCGAGAGCTCAGAAGCATATGCCTTGAATTTAAATACCGATTCGCTATCTGAAGTATTCACAGTCCCGAGAAACGCATATGCGACGCTTGCTTCTCCTTCGCCGTCATCTTCTTGTTCCACGCGTCGTATTCCTCTTGATCTGCATACTCGTTCCCAATGTCCCTCTTTCTTACATTTGCGACATACGGATTTCGTCGCAGGACATCTTCTTCCTTGCATATGATATGAATTTCCGCATCTGCCACATGCCTGCTCATCTAGACGAAAAGTATCCTTGTTGCCATCCCGCCTGTGTTGATAAAACTGTTTTCCCTTCTGAGTAATCCTATTCACCTCTCCGTCTTCGTCTAATTCTTGTCTCATTTTCTTTCCTTCTTTGGCTTGCATTTCTGCTGGCGGATTACTTCAAAGGCCTTTTTTATCGTTAAGTCGTTCATCAGCTGTAATCGTTCGGAAGTACGGGTGTCGCGAATGCCTATTACTATGCGATCTGGTATCAGTTCATCTTTTATAGTACCGTAGTCACATGTTTCCGCCAACGAATACAATGTTGTAACAAAGGAGTCGACACTTTCATCTGGTTCTTGGACGCGAGAGTTAAATTTGTAACGTTCAAAGATAACATTCTTTTTCGGTAAAAAATATGCATTTAACTTCTCTTGAACGTCCTCGTACGTAGTGGACCCTGTGATATTCGGCATAACTTGGATCAGAATTTCTTCAGCTTTCTCTCCCATCGTATAACACAGCAGGTCGATTTTTTCGCTATCTGGCTTTCCTGATAATCCGGTCACCGAAATATATCTCTCGAAGCGTTTGATCCATTTTGGCCACAGTTCCGGATTACTAAAGTCGAATTCTCCTAGAGGACTAATGTTCGATATCGACGCCATTTTGTAGGTTATCTTCTTGTGTTGCCTTGTACTCCCCGATTTTTTGAACAGCTGAATTGCCTCTTTCTCAGTCTACTAGGACATAGGGATCCCACTTCTGACACCATGTATCGGGTTGACTTTTGGAGCAGGGAAATAAAGAGAATCCTCAGCGTAGACTCAGAACAGGAAGCATCCTGCTTGACACACTCACTTCTCCCTTCTCGCCCGTCTCTCCTCTCGCACCACTCTCTAGATGGCGCTGCTTTACGCTCACGTAACAACTTATTAACGGCTAAAGACATTCGAATTGATCTTGCCTTAATTGGTCGGATCAGTGATCGGTCTTGCCTTAACTGCCAAGCCTCATAACTCGGAAAGTACTCGATGAAATGTAACTTTGTTAGAGTGTTTTGGAAAGCTCTCGAGATAAGCTACAAGAATATATAATAAAAAATTGTAGTTTCTATTTAAGAAAACATTAATGGCCTTGGCCTGATTTTGACAAGGTCACTCAAGGTCAAGTCCACATTTCCGTTATGTGTCGTCCTTCAAGCAACTTGCGTTCGAAAAATTTTTTAATAAAATAACAAATTTTTACAAGTAAAATTTATCATTGTTTATTAGAACACTGAGTTATATGGTTATTTTACTTGTTATTGTAACAAATTAATTATTATAACAATGTTATAATAATTAATATTAACAATAACAATAACAAATATTAATTATAAACAAAATATTTAATACAAAAAATCTTGGCGCGGCTGCACCAAAAACTATATCGAACTAAAATTTGTTTAATACATATATGACAGCATTTTTATTATAATATATTCTATAATGAAGGTTTATAATTTTTTTATTATAATACTATATAAACTTAAATAAAACATTATACCGTACATATATAGAGAGAATTTACAACATTTTATTGTAATAGAAATGCTGTCATATATGTATTAAACAAGTTTTAGGTCGATATAGTTTTTGGTGCAGCCGCGCCAAGATTTTTGTATTAAATATTTTTTATTGCATTGTTATAATAATTAATTTGTTACAATAACAAGTAAAATAACTATATTACTCAGTGTTCTAATAAAGAATGATAAATTTTACTTATAAGCTAGGTTTTCTTGAATATTTTGAATAACATAACCTTTAAAAAGATATTTTTTTTTAAATATTGGACAGTATTAACAAACGTGTTAAATTTTTATAACACGATATAATTTTTACTTTTAAAAGTTTATGTACATATATTATAATATTTATCTTAAAAAAGAAGATAATTTGAATCTGAGATTTCTAAAAATATTAAGTTAAGTATACAATAATCATATATATATGTTAGGTTTCTCAGTTGGCGCTACTGTTCTAATATATCACTTCTTTTGTACAGTAGAATAGTGTTGTAGAGTTTTATTATAGTTATAAATTTTACTTGTAAAAACTTATGTACATATATATACATTTAAAAAAATAATTTGAGTTTGATACTTCTAAAAATAACACAATACGTGTTGCGCTTGTACTTGGCGCATTTTTTTACCTTTTTGTTTAAAAAGGTAAGTTTTATATAAGTTTTACTTGTAAAATCCTATGTATTATCTTTAAGTTTTACTTGTAAAAACCTGTTATATACGCATATATTTAAAAAAAAAATTTGAATTTGAAATTTCTAAAAATAACACAATACATGTTGCGCTTGTATTTGGCGCCCTCTTTTACCTTTTTGTTTAAAAAAGTAAGTTTTATAATAAATTGAGGATAATAGGAGATTCAGGGTCGAGACGAGGCGGCTGGCGGAGGAGCTCCAAGCCCGTCGTTTGATGACAACCTCCCGGAGGAGACCCCTCCCCAGTGCGGAGACCGGAGGGGACGAAAGAGGCCCTGGACACCGCCTTGGCCAACGCAATCCCTTCGAACAACGTCGGGGCGAGGTTGGACAACCTGAGGGTTGTGGTGCCCGCTTCGACGTTGAGAGAAGGGGTAGCCGCGTATCCGAGGCTGTGGCGGCCTCGACGCCCACTCCGGCTCCTAGAAGGAAGGAGACTGCTTCTTCGGGGAAGACCCAGGTTCTATCGCCGCCAGCGGAACAGGGAATAGCCACGGAGAAGGGAAGGGGTAAGAAGGAGAGGAAGAAGAGAAACAAGAAGAAGAAGAAGGTGCAGCAGAGAAAGGAGATGCAGGAACGAGAGAGAACAATGAATGGCGGTAGCAAGGGTCCTCCTACCAGGACTGCAGCTGCCCGGAATGAGGAGCCGGGAATGAGAGTCCCGGTAAAGATGATAAAGAAGTGGGGCCGTTATCCCGTTGAGAAGGAGTTGTGGCACTCTCTATACCCCGGAGGCGGACAGGCGCCGGTCAAGGAGGAGGAAACCTGGGCGCAGGTCAAAAGAAGGGGGAGGAGGAAGCCGCAGGGGTAGCAGGCAAAGGGAGGAGCCTGTAATCCTCCCATTAAGGAAAGTCCTGGGAGGGGGGCGAGACAGGGTAAACCAAATCCGCCGAGATCGGCGGCCATCACAGTCCTGTGCCCTGAGGGGCGTTATCAGGAGTTCATGGTGGAGGCCAGGCGCCGCATAAGATCAGCGGAGCTGGACATTGAGGTATCACTGAAGGTCCGTAAGGCCCTCAGTAAAATGATGCTGATCGAGGTGCCTGGCCTCCAATCAGGACCTTCCAGGAAAAAGGCCTCGGTTTTCGGGTCCAGAGACCGGACAAGTTTGCAGCGTTGCGACTCTCCAGCCTGGACGCGACAACCGGGGCCGATGAGGTGGCGGCCACCATCGCCCGAGTTGTGGGATGCACTCCCGCGGAAATGTCCGCGGGAGGTATGAGCATCTCCCAGAGGGGCATAGGGGCGGTTATGGTGCGGTGTCCGTTAGCGGCGGCCGCGAAGGTGCCGCGGAGCGGGTCCCGGTGGGGTGGACCCGTGCCGGTGTAACAGCGCTGCCCGCTCGCGCACTATTGTGCTACCGCTGCTTAGAGCGGGGGCACGTGCGCGAGCGGTGCACTAGCGCCGTCGATCGCAGCGGTCCCAGCCACCGCGCCAAGGAATGTCAGGCGGCGACTAAATACCCTGTCTACGCCGAGGCAGGCAGGCCCTCCGGTCACAAGATCGGAGGGCCTGCCTGCAAGCCCCCTCCTAAGAGGAGAAGGAGGGGAGGTAAGAAGGAGGAAGGAAAGAAGCAGACTGGGAAGGGAGGGGTCGAAGCGGGGAATGCCCGAACCCCCGTGGAGACCCTCCCGGAACAGTTGTTGCAGGTGGGAGGCACTGGGCCCGGCACCTCCCCAACGAGGGATCCGGCGGAGGGGAAGGGACCAGAGGAGACCCGACCGCCGAAAAGGGACCGGGAGGACGTGGAAGAGGAGGCAGCTTCGATGGTCCTTATGTCCCAAGAATGGCCGGAGGAGGGACATGACTGGAGCTCCTCCCAGGAGCAGATGGAGACGACATTCCTGACGAGGAAAAAGCCAGGGATGGAACGGGACCAACCGAAGCAGGAAGAGTCGGAGGAGGATCCGGACACCAAGAGGAAAGGAAAGGTGAGGAGCGTGGACCTCGAAGGGAAGCCCCCAACAAACCTAGAAGAAGAGCCGGTGGGAGTGCCACTCCCGACTCCCCAAGTGGACACAATCCCCCCATACTCCCCAGGGGAGGGAATTGTTCATGTAGGGACAACCCAAGCTTCCGCGCACATTGAGGAACCCGAGATAGAGGCCACCAAGATCGAGGCCAATGCCCCCTCGGGGGAGACCGAAGCGGCTCTGCCGACGGAGGTCTCCCAGGAGGGGGTGGAAGTAGGTAGTCCAGAGGAGGCGGCGAGGGCTTAGCCTTCACACTCCTCCGGGTCCTATAGGCCAACCTCGGCACCGGCACTCGGGCTCAGGACCTGTTTTCGAACAGGATCCTAGAGCTGGATGCCGGGCTGGGGGTGGCCACCGAGCCGCACGACGTGCCGCCATACAGCCCGGGCTGGTTCGGCAGTAGTAATAGCTTGGTGGCCATGGTGGCAAACCCCGCGGCTGGGACCCTTCCCTGCGAGTTCAGGCAGAAGGGGTCTTCGTTCGTGGCCGTCGACGGGCCCATCACGGTGGTGGGGGTTTACCTCCACCACCGAAGAAATAGACAAGGTCTAGGAGACCTCGTCCGTATAAAGAGGGTCCTAGACGGGATCGGGGAGATGATATGCAGATGCCATCCCCGACCCGTCGTTATTGCCGGGATTTCAACGCCCACTCGGAAGGGTGAGGGTGTATTCCCCGGCAGAGGGACTCTCGGGGCGAGGCTCTGATAGACTGGGCAGCGGGGCTAGACCTCTTGCTCATGAACAAGGGGTCGGCCAGCACCTGTGTGCGGCTGAAGGGGGAGTCGGTCATCGATTTTACCTGGGCAACCCCTTCAGCCGCCCGGTTATTCCGGGAGTGGATGGTGGAGGTGGAGGGCGAAACACTATCCGATCATCGGTACATAGTGTGGGCCCTCCG